AAAAAAAAAAAAAAAAAAAAAAGAAAAAGAAAGAGAGAATGATACAGAAACACGTCCACAGACTATATACATAAACTGAATAAGCAAGCAGAAATCTGTTGTTTTTTTGTGTTCTTATAAATATTAAAATAATTAAAATAATTAAAATAAATAAAATAAATAAAATAAATAAAATTAATATTTTTTATAATATAAAAACAGCAACATAACAAAAACTGTGTTGTTCTTGTTTTTATGTTTAATATTATTAATATTATAATTGTATTTCAACTACAGCTGCGTTATCGTGCCACTATTAAAAAATAATATTCACAATATAAATAATAAAAATAATAATAAAAATAATAAAACAAAATAAAATTAAAAATAATAAAACAAAATAAAACAAAATAAAATAAATATATCTTGCCTTTGATCCAGCAGCAGCCGGTGACCTCAGCATCAACCATAAAGCGCAAAACAAAAGGTATATTGCCAGTACAATAAAAACAACAGCAAAAATAATAAAACAAAATTAATAATAATAAAATAATAAAATAAAATAAAACAAAACAAAGATATCTTGCCTTTGATCCAGCAGCAGCCGGTGACCTCAGCATCAACCATAAAGCGCAACACAAAAGGTATATTAGCAGTAAAATAAAAACAACAAAAACAAAAATAATAAAAATAATAAAACAAAATAAAATTAAAAATAAAAAAACAAAATAAATTAAATATATCTTGCCTTTGATCCAGCAGCAGCCGGTGACCTCAGCATCAACCATAAAGCGCAAAACAAAAGGTATATTAGCCTCATAAGCAGTTGTCGGTAAAATAATTTTTTCTGCGGAAAAATATTTAAATTTTTGCGGCAAAAAAAAGCGAATTCCGCTTTCAATAAAACCACGAATAGAAGCTATTAACTGCGGTGATGCTGCTGTTATACGAAAAAATAATTGATCCTTTTTTGACGCAGAATAGTACATTACAGACTGAAATAAACACACAAAACATATATTTTTGTCTTCTTTTTATTATATTTATTTTGTTTTTTTCTTTTTTCGCTTTTTTTGCGGGTTTTTTTGATGCTTGGGGACTATAAATATGAAATATGCATACAGTGGAATGTATACTGGTGGCTGAAACACAAAAAAATAAAAAAAAATTAGTTTCGTTTTTCTCGATTTTATTTTATTTTATTTAAATTATAATGCATAAAAAATCAAAAATAAATAAAAAATAAATAAAAAATAAATCAGAATAAGAGAAGAAATGAAACAGAAAAAAAAGAAAAAACCAGCAGCATCTGTTGCTGCCGCACGCTTATGGTGGTGTTTTTTTGAATCTATGCATTAATAAATTAAATTAATTAATTAATTAATAATAAATTATATAAAATTAATAATTTTTATGGTTTGTTGTGTTGTTTTTTTTTTGTTTTTTTTGTTTTTTTTTTGTTTACTGGGCTGTGTTTCTGCTGTATTTGAGAATGTGAAAAAAACATGAAAAAAAAACACAATCAAGCGGGGAAATAAATAAATAAATAAATAAATAATATATCAATAAATAGAAAATAAAAAAATAAACAAATATATATATTTATTTATTTATTTTTTCTTTTTTCTTACCTCCTTTTGCTCAAGGCGAACGTCTAGGATTCGCCGTTCAAATGATTTCCCCTGTGCGTGGCTCTTCAATAGAAAATCCTAAAATAAAAAAAAATAAAAAAAAATAAAATAAAATAAAATAAAATAAAATAAAAAATAAATAAAAATAAAATATTATTTTATTCATTCATCTTCTACTCGTTATACAATTTATTTCATATTTATTCATATCCATCAACATTCATATTAATATTAATATTAATATTAATATTAATATTAATATTAATATTAATATTTACATTCTTATTTATATCTGCATATCTGACATACGCATATTAATATTTATATTTATATTAATATTCATATATATGCATGCATATGTCACATTAATATTAATATTAATATTTATATTTATATTTATATTAATATTAATATTTATATTTATATTTATATTTATATTTATATTTATAACCCCATTGATATCAATATAAACATTTACATTCATATTCATATTCATATGCATATTCATAT